CCTGATGACAATCGCTTGTGTTGCGATCGAAACGTCATTGTTTTTTGTTTACTTTTTACTATTTTTTACCTATCTGTAGTGGTTTAACGCGCGCCAATTGTACACACGTGCGGGTTGGGAACAGTGGGGTCGAATCGGGACGTGCTGCTGTTGCTGGGGGCCAACGAGTGAGTCAGAGACGGCCGGTTGGGCAATTATGGTGCAGGGCAGTGATTGGCCGGTTGTTGTTGTTGAGGACAAAGTGGCGCCTCCAAGTCTGGGAATAGAGACAGGTGGCAGCAAGGGGCGTGGGGGGGGATGCCAACTAATTAATTGGGAATTAATGTGGAGGGGGATAAATAAGGGAGCGTCAGAGAAAGACGGGGAGTTGTGCTGGGAGCTGGACGCAGTCGGTCGAGGCAGAAGAAGAAGCATAGAGTAGCAGTGGAGAGAAGCATAGAGTAGCAGTGGAGAAGAAGTGTAGAGTAGCAGAGTAGAAGAAGAAGCATAGGGTAGATAGATAGATATAGATAGATCGTTTATTGTCATTGTCACCAGTACAACGAAATTTAAAATGCTCACCAGTCAGGGCCTCATTCATAAATTTAAATTAAATAAAACAAGAAAATAAAATTAAATGAAAGATAATCAATTTATACTATATATAAAAACAGCCCAAGTATACCCACATACCCACATAAGGTTACATTTTGTCATTGCACATCTCTATTTCACAGTCAATTGTAAACGCTATTACTTAATAATTAATTAGCATTATTGAGTGTGGTGATCGCTGTAGGATAAAAGCTCTGTTTGAATCTGTTTGTCCTTGTTTTGACTGATCTGAATCGTCTGCCTGATGGCAACAGCTCAAACAGTGAGTGTCCAGGGTGAGAAGAGTCCTTTATAATGTTCTGTGCTTTTTTGATGCAACGTGAACTGTGTAGTTCTTCCAGTGTGGGGAGATGGCAGCCGGCGATCTTTTGGGCTGTGTTGATGACCCTCTGGAGCGCTTTCCTCTGAGCCACTGTGCAGCTGGTGTACCATACACAGATGCAGTATGTAAGAATGCTCTCGATGGAGGCTCGGTAGAAGGACACCAGCAGTTTCTGTGTGATGTTATTATTCCTGAGAATTCTCAGGAAGTAAAGTCTCTGCTGGGCCTTTTTCAGAAGCTCAGTGCTGTTGGCGCTCCAGGTCAGGCCCTCCCCAATGTGGACTCCCAGGAAGCAGAAGTCTGCCACCCTCTCCACACAGTCCCCGCTGATGATTAGTGGTGGAGTGTCCGTTTTCTTTCTCCTGTAGTCTATTATGAGCTCCTTGGTCTTTGCGGTGTTAAGGAGCAGGTTGTTGCCCCTGCAGTATGCTGTCAGCCGCTCCACCTCGTCCCTGTAGGCAGACTCATCCCCCCCAGAGATGAGCCCCACAACTGTGGTGTCATCAGCAAACTTCACAATGGTGTTGCTATGGTGGACGGCGGCACAGTCATGTGTGTAGAGGGAGTAGAGCAGGGGGCTCAGTACACAGCCCTGGGGGGAGCCGGTACTGAGGCTCAGGGCTGTGGATGTATGACGGCCCACTCTGACCCTCTGTCTGCGGCCCGAGAGGAAACTATATATCCACATGCAGGTGGAATGTGGAATCCCCAGGTCGCCCAGTTTTTCCACCAGTTTGTGTGGGAGGATGGTGTTGAACGCGGAACTGTAATCCACGAAGAGCATCCGCACATAGCTCCCCTGCTGCTCCAGGTGTGACAGTGCAGCATGTAGTGCTGTGGCCACGGCGTCCTCCGTGGATCGGTTCGCTCTGTAGGCAAACTGGTGGGGGTCAAGGTTTCGGGGCAAGCTTCCTATGATGTGACTCCGGACCAGTTTTTCAAAGCACTTCATCACCACTGGCGTGAGTGCTACTGGCCGGTAGTCGTTGTAGCTGCAAATGTGGGTTTTTTTGGGCAGCGGGACTATGGTGGAGGACTTTAGGCAGGTTGGTACGGTGGACTGTTCCAGAGACAGGTTGAAAATCCTTGTGAAGACTCCAGCCAGCTCGTCAGCACAGTCCCTCAGCACACGTCCCGGGACGCCATCAGGTCCCGCAGCCTTCCTCGGGTTGACGGCCCGCAGCATGCGCCTCACCTCATGCTCCTCCACTGTGAGGTTTAAGCTGCTGTGGACCGTGAGGTTTGGTGATGCTGTCCCTTGTGGTGTCACCTCAAAGCGGGTAAAGAAGAGGTTCAATTCCTCTGCCAGAGCGTTGTCACCATCAGCAGCTACGCGGTTGGCCCTGTAGTTGGTGAGGTGCTGGACTCCCTGCCACACCTGCCTGCTGTCGTGACTGTCCAGGCGTTCCTCAATCCTCCTCCTGTAGTCTGCTTTGGCCTTGCGGATGCCTCTCTTCAGGTTAGCTCGGGCTGTACTGTAGGGAGCTTTGTCTCCGGAGTTGAAGGCGATATTCCTCTCCTTCAGCAGTTGCTGGACCTCCCGGGTCATCCAGGGCTTCTGGTTGGGGTAAACCCGAACGCGTTTGTCCACAGTGACAGTGTCTATGCAGTTTTTAATGTAGCACAATACACTATATGTGAACACCTCCAGGTCCTGATGTTCGAAGACCCCCCAGTCGGTCCTATCAAAGCAGTCCTGCAGCTGCTGGGTGGCACCCTCAGGCCAGATGGCGACAGTTTTTGTGATGGTAGGAGCCGTTTTCTTGATGGGGGCGTATGCAGGGATCAAAAGCAGGGACAAATGGTCAGACTGGCCCACATGCGGTAGTGGTCTAGCCCTGTAGCCTAGTTTGATGTTGGTGTAGACCTTGTCCAGAATCTTAGTTCCCCTAGTAGCACACTTAACATGCTGGTGGAATTTAGGGTAGAAGTGGAGTAGAGGGTAGAAGTGGAGTAGAAGAAGCATAGGGTAGCAGTGGAGAGGAAGAAGAAGTGTAGGGAAGTAGTGGAGTGGAAGAAGACGTATAGGGTAGCAGTAGAGACGGGGAAGCCGAATGAGAGTGACAGTCGGAGTGAGACGGGGAAGCCGAGAAAGAGCGACGGCTGGAGTGAGACAGGGAAGCAGAGAAGGGAGTCGGGAGAGACGGAGAGAAAGAGGGAGGAACGGAGCGAGCGAGGCCGGCGGGGCGCGGCGAGCGAGCGGAGAAAGTGTTAAAGGATGGCGGCGAAATGTGCTGTGTTGGACAAATAAAGTGACGACAGAAACGAAAGAAGTTGTCTGCGTAAAGTTCAGCACTACACCTATCTACGTGACTTACCGAAAGACCCAAAGAATATGAATTCCTGCAGTCACGAAAGTCAAGATATAATCTCTAACACATTAGCCATAGGTGAAATTCATTTATTTTTGTAGGATGGTACAGAGTCGAAAAGAGAGCCATGAAGTTCACTATCCCAGGAATTTGGCGGGAATCCACTGACCACTCAAGCAACTGCTACTTCTGCATGGTGGACCCTTCCAAACGTCGGACTGGCAAGAATGCACCAGCTATCACGTATCCAGACCTTCTTTCATCCATCGCCCCGGTGCGACACTGCCATGAGCTCCCCGTACCCAATCCACCAGAGAGAGCAGCAAGTCCGAGAGCGAGGAAGACGTAGATCCAGATGACAATTTCAGAGGTGGAGCTGAGGAGATAAATCCATACTACCCCCAACCAAAAATATCTCAATGACTTGATCAGAGATATTGGTCTCAACAAGTGCAATGCCGAGCTTTTGACGTCTAGGCTCAAGCAGTGGAATTTGTTGGATGAAAGTGTTTGCAGCTTCTTCACCCGTCAAGATGGGCTCTGCTTCTGCCACAATGTGACCAGTCTGTTTGAGGCTATCGGAATCACCTGTAACCAGAATGAGTGGCGCTGTGCTGCTCCATAATGGTAACAAGGACCCATCTCTTCCCATGGCTCACTCGGTGCACCTCAAAGAGGATTCCAGACCTTGCCGGATGTCTTGAAGTATGATAAATATGGCTGGGAGGTCATCGGAGACTTCAAAATGGTGGCATTCCTGATGGGTCTCTAAGGCGGTTTTACCAAGTTTCCCTGCTATCTTTGCCTTTGGGACAGCAGGGACACCAAGGTGCACTACCACATGCGGGACTGGAAGGTGCTGATGCCACCACTGCACATCAAATTGGGCCTTATGAAACAATTTGTCAGAGCTGTAGATAAGGAGTCGGCAGCCTTCAAGTAACTTCAAGACTTCTTCTCTAAGCTGTCGGAGGCAAAGGTCAATGACGGTGTTTTCGTCGGACCACAGATAAAGAAGATCCTGGAGTGCGATTAATTTTCTAAAAAGCTTACTAGTAAGCAGAAAGCGGCTTGGAACAGCTTTGTCGCAGTGGTTCGTGGCTTCCTGGGCAATCACAAGGTCGAAAACTATGTGGAGCTGGTTGAAACTCTGGTGAAGAACTACGGCACAATGGGCTGTAGAATGTCCGTCAAAGTCCATATCCTTGATGCTCATCTTGATATATTCAAGGAGAACATGGGAGTGTACTCGGAGGAGCAAGGCGAGCGCTTCCACCAGGATAGACTGGACTTTGAATGCCGCTACCAAGGACAGTATAATAAGAACATGATGGGAGACTACATTTGGGGGCTGATTCTTGAAAGTGATTTACAGTATAATCGTAAATGTCGAAAAACTACTCGGTTCTAAATCTTTTGTAGTAATTTTTGTTATCACTTTAGTATAAATACATGTTAATTTTGATTCATATGTTGTTGTTTTTCTGACTTTATGTGAACGAAAATACACAAATTCGCCCGTTTTCTCATTGAAAATAGGTATATTTCAAAATATCACTGTTCTGGTCACAAAAGCAAAGTTTTTGGGGAATAATAGTCAATTTCTATGCTTTTTAGGCATAAGCAATTCGGAAATAACACTTACTACCCAGGAACTAAAATTGTGTACCAGTGTATTTGCTCAGAGGTCAAAGTCAATTCCTCTGCTGCGGAACGTGTGCAGACGATATGACGTCACTGCGCATGTGTAGAATGACGTCATGCAACACTATGGGGTGACGTCATTCGGCGGGATTTTGGCGCGAATCTCACATTTTGAGAAACCGCGACGATGATGGAGTCAACGACCCTCTCCTGGGGAGCCACGGCGGGCGCGCTCGCTCACCTCGAGAAGCTCTTGGGATGCGCACTCTGGTGAGGTCGCTGAGATGTTCAGTATTCATTCGAATTTTGACCGAGGCGTCCAAATGGCGAGTTGTTTTAGGGCGGGGAGGAATCGCGGCGTGCCTTCTCGCCTAGTTCTCCCGCGGTGTTTGGTCGCCCCTTTCCGGCTAAGCCGTAGACTCCACGTCGGTGTAGGCCTGACCCGTCTCTCACTACAACACAATCGCTGTGTAGCAAACCTCAATACTGTAATTAGCACAAATGCTCACAAGCCTATTGCGAAAAGTATTGTTGTAAATAGTGGAATACGACTGTTGTGTTTAAGTATGCATAACTCAAACCGCAGTACGCTGACGTTTTACCGCTTAAGCCCACTTTAGAAGTTAGTGCGATGTCTATGAAACGCAAATTACATTTGTATTAATTTTTGACTCCACGATTAAAGCCCACTGGGCTACCCAACTTTCGTCATTCCCATCCCCACTGACCACCGTGTGGTCTAATAACCTCTGGCCAGCACGGTGGAGGGAGGCCGCCATCCAGCAGTGGAGTGACATAAGAGCTGTACGGTACATGTACTCGTATAACATACCTCAGCACATTGAGAGTATCGATATCGTAGGTATCGCTGCTATTGCTGTAACTTGCGACACGCATTCATCGCACCTGCTCGTGGTTTATGTTGATGTCTATTAATCAGAATGCATTTTGTCAAACATCCCAATGCAAGACTCCTGAAAACGTCTCTGACTCATTGAGGCCTTTATGGATATATCAATGATAATACAAATTACACCCAACTTACGATTAATGGGTTTTGAATTGCATTAATTGAACTGTACATTGATGGTATACGCAATAACGGTAGCGTAGTGACGTTTGCATTGTCAATGGAGCTTAACATTTTACCACTAAGTTATGTTTAAAGTAAGGGGTTTTTAAAGCAATTTTCCGTATCTTATCACCAATGCCTTCAACACCAGAGTACGTCACTTGCACAACTAGAAGCGTGACATGTCAACTTTGGACGCTGTCACTATCTTTACAAACATTGCTATTTAAAACTTAATGTGTTATTGCGTTGTTTAACAGTTGAATGTGTTCTTGTATGCTGCTAAATAAGGCTAATATTTGGCATTTTACAGGACTGGAATTCATTACGAACATTTTACCAATTCCTTTTTAAGGATTGTTTTGCATGACAGAAATCCGAGACCCCCCTCCTGGCTGTCCCGTCTCCTGTCCACCTTGCAGCTCAACTTAACAGAGTTGGGAATCTCATGAATCCCCAATTCCCAAATTTAGTTTGCAAAGCGTTGGATTGCAGGCGTAAATTAAGTACCGTACTTAACGGCCACTCTGGCGAATATTTCATGATGAAACAGGGAAAATGTGATCCAAAATAATCTCCAACTAAGCATCAAGGCTTATTTTTGTGCAGCTCTTTATGTTATCTTCGTGCAAATTTGGTTGCATTAAAGAGCATGCATTTCCTACGGATTCATGCTTTAACTTATGTCGTGTCGCCCGTCTGCCTTGTGGCTTGCCAGTGGAGACACGCTGTGTGAGCCGTGCAGCTTGGGAGGCTGTGAACACGTTTTCTGCCGGTGAGTTTCATTGATTTCTTACACGGCTTCATTGGCACTACTTTTGTGCCTCCGATTGAACCCAAGCAAAGAGCAATGCCTATGCTCGCTTCCACCTTGTATTTCTTCCATGTCATTGTTAAAACGTGATATGGTAACATTGTTTTGGCTGTCATTATTTGATTCCGTGTTGGGATGTATTGTTACTCTTATGATGTAAAGGTTATGTTAGTTTAACACGTAGGCTGGCGAATTGCCCGATGATGCTGGATGCAATTACCAGCGAAACGTCATACTAAAAAAATTAAAATGCTGTGGTTTCACGCTTCAACACACCGGTGGGCTAAAGTAGTGAACTATTTGTCTTTTGTCAACGTGAAACTTTTTTGCTGATTGGCCGTGTTGGGTGGTGGAGTGTTACGACACATTTATATATAACGCGATCTAACCCAAAAACATTCATTATGATTATGAAGTATAATGTTCTCAAAGCCAGTCATTTATAAGTTGATCTTTACCCAATTATTTGTATGTTAAACGACTATCTCGTGACTTGTATAACTTAATTACTGATAAAGGAGAATCTTGTTTTGCATTAACCGGTCACCACGTGAAAAAATTGGGAAAAAACAGTTAACAATTTGCAGCACATTAAGAAATGTCGATCAACAACATAACATTTTTACCTTTTCAACTCCGAAATAAAGGAGCTTCTGTGGTGTAATGGTTCACACCAATGCATTGAACCAAACTGGTTTTTACCGCTTAATTTTTGGAGCAAAAACTGGACCCCTCTATCTTTTCTTCTCATCCTGGTAATAAGTAAAAAAAAGTCTGCAATCTCTAGTGCAGTGGTTCTCCAGTACCACCAGTGAACGGTCCGCGACGGTCCTCCACGTGGTCCTTGGGTTGTGATGCAAACGCAAGTTGATTCGGAAATAATTACGTTTACCTTTTGTTTCAGACATTCATTCATTTTTTACTTTTGATTTTAAATAAAAAAAATGAAGTTGGGTAAACTACTCCAATAATAACCCTACCATAACCCATCTTAATCACCCCCCGCTTCCCCCAGAAAAAATTATGGCTGCATTTAAAAAATAGTTTTATGTTCCAGTAATATGCATTATTTGGTACTACTGAAATTTATAGTGATCAGTGAATGCGTTTTAACACTAGCGGTGGGGGACTGGGTGGTCCGTGGAAATTTTGGGATCGGCTGAGCAGTCCACAGGCCAAACAAGTTTGGGAAGCACCACTCCAAACCAGTGACACTCGAGGCCACCTTGACCATTATCCCTCAGTCACGAGGTGAAACGTCTTATGCACAGCTACTTACTACGGCTGTAAACGAATCTGCACGTCGTCGAAGCAAGGGTTGAGGGTGAGAGGGTTACACGGAGAGTTGGTGATATAAACATAAAGTCAAGATGCACAAAATTGCAATTTGGAAACGTGAGTTGTTAACTAGCGATAAGTAGAGGCGACTACACAAACATTGAAATAGTCCGTCAAGTATATATGAAGGATGCTGAGCAATGTGTATTGTTGTATGTTATTGCTGACCATGTTTGTATTATTTTTGTACTGTGCTTTAGTGCTTGCAATTAAACAAACACGACGACCAATAAAACAGCAATACACACTGCACAGAATTCCTCATTCTTTCATGATTATTTTATTGATTAACATGTAAGAAAGACAGCAGTTAATTCTATAAAATTAACATTAAAAAAATATTTATAATATAAAATGTATGCCGAGTGTCTGCTGCTGCGTCCTGTACAGCGCTTTGAGATCCTTTATGAAAAGCACGATATACATGTAATTATTCTTATTATTTAACTGTAACTATTTTACAGTTACATTTTACAGTTTGTCTTTGCGTCTCCATTTGTGTCTCCATCTAATCGCTTCTTGCAAGTTGCAACAAACGTGATCAAAACACAGGCCTCAAGTTTATCTATGGGACCTTTTTGCCAGTATCCAAATGATGAAAATATGAATTGGGGTTTACACTTTCTGGCACTGAAACAGGTGTTGAGATGTTCAACATTTAATTGGTGTTTGAACATCTTAACACCTGTTTTGTTGCCAGAAAGGGTAAAACCTATTCTTATTTTTCAACTAAACTGTAGCCTACATGGTCGCATGAACTATAAGCTACACAGGAGCTCTTTTTTTCGAATTTCATATCCAGATGTGAGCTTGTTCCACCTGGTTTTTGAAAATAATGAACCGAATTCGAAATTTTAAAGGCCATTTTTATCTAATTGAACCGTATCCAGTTCATAAGTTTGATTCCCAGGTTTGCACGCTACACTTGCAATCCAGAGGTCGCCGATTCATTTCCATTGCCTGTTGCGGCAGTGGAGACAATGGATGAATGCCACAACTCAAACTCGGGTTACTATGTTCACGGCACAGCCACTCCCCACATTGAATGTGTTATCTTGGATCATTTGCGTCATGATGTACATGTGAATGTTGGAAAACATGAAAAATTTAATGGAATAAAAATGCACCTGTGCAGTCGCTTAAAGCCATGTCCCTTCCTGTGTTCATGAACGAATTCCTCAGGGGTTGCGTGAGCGATCATGTCGGCAACAGCTGCCCCATCTGTCAGGCGCCGTCCTGGGTCAGAGATCTGCAGGCAAATCGGCAGCTTGCCGGCATGGTGACCCTGTGCCGGCAGCTGCGTGAGCTCCTGGCAACCGACACTCCACCCTCTGACAAAGCGTGTTCACTCTCCCTACAGCAACCAGGGCCACGTGAGTGAAACATGCATATATACCCATTTACATGGAGATACAGTGGGGTTATTTTGCTGGGAGGTAGAGGGCAGGGTAGAAACATTTGTTGTACTGAACTAAATTAATCTTGCGCTCGCTGCCTTCACCAACCCGGACTGACCAGTGTGGTGAAGCGCGATCAAATTATCCCAAGACCTGCACGGTGTGGAGAGGCACCTATCCATCATTGGTTGACAAAGGGCTGTATGTGTACTCTTTTGCCTAAAATATTTTATTTTATTCCATAGTCTTTTTAATCAAAGAATTCTGTTGAGTACATTGAACAAATACATTTAACAACATTGACCCAGCAGCAATTGAATGTAAAATACAGATATTTGAATCAGAATGTTAACTGTAAGAATTTGAGTAAATTGAGTTTACTAAGGGGAAGAGATGTATGCAATCTCATCCTTCAGAGAATGGGAGTGAATCACTGTGGATTAGTCATATGTGACGCTTGTGTTTTGTACACAGGAGAGAAAGATGTCAAGCCATCACCTGAAATTATAAAAACGCCGGAACTGACCAAAAAAGCCAATGTGGTCAGCATGCAGTTCAGTCCCCGCAGTAGGCAGGTGCGTTGCCGCATCAAAAAGCCCACTCAGCCACTTGAGGACAAGGAGAATGCCAAGACCAGTGCTGCAGATGGAAGTTACGCATCGGTGTATGACTTCCAATCCTCCCAGTCGTCTCCTGATCAGACACCGATTCATCCACCACAGCCCAGGAAACTAAAAACGATACGGAAGAGGCTATCGGCTATTAACAAGTCATGGGGTTTTGGCAAAAAGCGGAAGAAGAATACAAGCGAGAGCACAGATGTTGCCAGTAAGATAGAAGTTTCACAAAAAGATCCGGCTGACAACCGCCTCATCTCGTTTGGCCCCGAGCAAGTGTTTCTAATCGATAGCAGTAATGTGACATGTAGTGCTGTAAGCGCGAGTGCCACTCCATCCCCGGACGCTACCAGTGCCGTGGCCGCTGGAAGCACAATTTTCCAGTCATTGTGGAGCCCAACGATGTCAGGAGAGTCGGTCGAGAGCAACCCATCAGGCGGAAACTCTGAGTCAGAGAAGACGACAACTGACTCTGCCTTGGGAGCGACGAGCAAGCGGGCCTTGGAGGAGCCGAGCGGTGCAAGTCCTTCCAAGGTGTGGCTGTTAGGCGCACAGTTGACAGATACAACGGTTAAACTCATTGCATTTAGATACATAATTTGATGTTCCTTAAATGCTACATTTTTTACATCGTACATTAACACCTGTCTCATTCTCACTGCTGATCAGCACTCCGTCACTGACTATACATCACTATTAGAAAATATAAAGTAAGTTTATTTTTGTATTTCATTTCATGGAATTTAACTCGTACTTATATATGTAAAGTGAGGTACGTTGACCAAAATGCCATTAATCCCTCAAGGTCCAGGGGTTGCTGTGTACCAGTGTAGGCACTTATTTATTTTCTGCTACAGAAAGCAAAGAGTGGCTGGAATGGAAGCATTTTGCAAAAGTCGCCCCCTGGCGTTGGCGGGAGGCGGAAGGCCGGGGGGAGTGTGGCTGGCTCTCCCGGGACCTCGGAAATCCTGAAGAAGAACCGAAAGGGCGAGACACCGCTGCACGTCGCTGCCATCAAGGTGCCATGACTTAAATAATACTTTACCCTTTATTTCCTATAAAATGAACAAATGTTAGTTACTAACTTTACACATAGAAGCCACGTCATTCAATTTCAAGCACTTGTTTTTTGTTACTTAACATGAGCAGATTATATCCAGGTTGTGGATTAACTGGTATTGCAAAATAAAGACCAAGAAATATCAAATCTGCAATTCCACGCTAATTTGTGCCTTTTACACATGCTGGTGCTATTATTAGCTGCTTGCTAACTCGTGTCAATTACTTTACGAAACAACACAAACGACACATTACACCTTCACCCAAAAACGCACATTATCTATTTTGTAGATAATGTGCGTTTTTACACCCGAGTTAACATGTTTGGCATTGTTTGTTTTTGTTTTAGCCATGCTATCCCTTCCCTCCATTGGCCCAGATAATTTTGAGTTCACGGGAGCATTTTTGTGTTAAAGTATTTTAAGTGCTGATATTAAATTTTGCTGTCATGGTTGGTGAGCAGATCTGAAATCGTGGGAAACTTCACAAGCAAAATGAAAGAAGCCAGTGCAGTAAATTACACTGCAATGTTGTCAAGCCCCCGTTGCCAGGCCCTCGTTTCAATCTGTTGCATTGCGGTCCACTAATGTGTCTTGTGTGCAGGGTGATATTGATGGAGTTGAACACCTTCTAAAGAATGGTGCAGATCCAAACATCAAGGACAATGCTGGATGGACCCCTCTGGTAAGTAGAGGATAAAATTATCGCAAGTTTATGTAAACCTTCTCCATTGTCTAATATTTAAGCCACATTAAAATTAATGTGTGGTGCTGTTTACCAATGAGGTTAAAGGTATCTCTTATGATACTGTGTCATATTTACTTCTGAAACTATAAATTGTACTGTAGCACTGTGTCATCCTCTACCCAACTGGCTATATATATCAACAAAAATTCAAATGTTTGAACCTACATACATGGCGTCATCCCCTCCAAGTGGTTTATTTTAATCACGCTTGTGGATGCATTTGTTTCGTTTCATAATTGCTTTATTCTGTGCACACGCGCGCCCTCCCGTGCCGCCCGCACAGCACGAGGCGTGCAACCACGGACACGTGCGGGTGGTGGAGCTGCTGCTGGACCATGGCGCGTTCATCAATGCTCCGGGCTACGAGAACGACTCCCCGCTGCACGACGCCGTCTCCAACGGGCACACGCACGTGGCTGGCCTGCTCGTGGGTCGCGGGGCCGACCAGCACGCGCTGTGAGCGAGCACGCACAGCACAACCCTTACTACCTCTTTTTTTCCACTGAACCAACCCAAGCTGTGCCGAGCCAGTCCTGTGCCGGGTTGTTTTCCCACTGCTGAAGCGGAGATGTACCGTTGACATGACGCGCAATGATCGAGTCCAGACACTAATTAACTAGCTATTTTTATTTTACCACTAAGGCCCACTGAGCTATGTAGCTCTTTTTTTCAGAAGCAACCTGACCACAAATTCTAGCCCAGCAATCTAGCTTATCATGTGCACATTTATTGAAACCAAGCAAATACTCTAAATGCAAGGAGATGACAGCAATAATACTACTTTCATTATAAATATCGCCATTCATGCCAACAGCATCCTACAACGCTGTACATACATTTTACATAAGGACCAAATTCCATATACGCGGTTGGCTACATATGGCGCGAAAGAGGGCCAACACACACATACATACCAAGTAAAGGAAAACCCTCCTGCCAAGCAAAATAAAAAATAATAATTAACAAGTTAAGAAATTTCATTAAAAAAAGCATGAACAAAAAACGTTTTCACAACAAGATTAGCACCACAAAATATTTATTTACCTACTGACTCCTCATGTCTGGGCTTTCACGTTATTTTTTGTTCAATGCAAAATGGATTTAATCCTGTGCAGGAACATGCTGGGCTTGCAACCGCTGGACTATGCCAAGAGTGAGGAGATGCGCACGGTGTTCACCAGCCAGCCGTTCGAGCCCAGCACGCTGCCCTTCAGTCTGCCCGCGAGCGTACGTACCCTCACCACACAGCCTCCCGATGCCTCATCTCTCCCCACAGGTGGAGGGCAGCTAGCACTGTAGCGTACAGAAGCTTGTCCGGAATGGCTCAATGCTGACTGCTGTTGTGATCATTTATAATCATCGTCAGCCATTGTCTATCCACTGCTTGATGAAATGCCTTCCCCACGCCATTGACATCCATCATGGTCCAGGGCTATTGCTATCCATCTCACTCCTGCGCATGAGCTGAGCTCATTGCTCCATCTCCATGATGGTCATCCACTTGGATGCATTCTTTCCATCGGCCACTATTTCTCGTCTGCATTCCTTATGATCCCAAGCTCTGTTCCCTCATCCGTATGTTCCATATTCTGTCTCTCAGTGTAATTCCAAGCATGCATCTCTGTAATTCATACATATTTAGTATAATTACAGATATCAATTGCTAAGCATCCGTAAGAATATTCAGGTACTGTAGTGCAGCAGTCATAAAACCACAGTACCAGAGGAGACCGGCAGAGGGGGTGTGCTTATATTTACCGCGGCACAACAAGCTGCCTGACTTTAATCTGAAAGGGAGTTGCAGTTGAGGATTGGTAGACCAGAACAACTGGTTCCGGTTGTCGAAAATGTCAGGCAGGCTGCTTTAACACGACGTTTGGAATTGATTGGTACTGTAGTAAAATAGCACTAAAGTTGCACCGAATTTGGCATAGCCAAGGATTTTATTGGAAAGTTATGATTTAAACATTGCATTTAAGGGGTCGTGTTGCTGCATTTAGTTTTGTCCAGCAGTGTCCCTCCCATTATTAACAACATTTACATGTCTGTGTGCACGCACGTTTGTGGTGAACACTGTGAAAAGATCGTGAAATAGTGCCGTGTTACACCTGATAAAGCCGCCCATTACCACTGTAGACAAGATGAGACAGTGGAAAGATGATACGTGCTGCTTTGAGAAATAAACAATGCATTGATGTCATGTGGTGTGGATTGATGCATAAACCTATGGGAAAATATTTTCCATCAAATTTCTCAAGCCACCCATGAATAGCCTGTTGCGTTTAGGAGTAAGGCAACTGCTTATGGGAGAATCACATATTTTGAACACGGCAAGTGGAGCGCAATTAGCCTGAAGCAAATGGCTACTGTAGAACCAGTGTGTTTTATTTCGACAAAATAGAAAAGTTGAATGAATACTGCCGTTCCAAGCAGCTGGTAAGAGGGTGAGTGTACACCATATCGCCGGCAGTACCATAGTTCCAAGTGATAACACAAGTCTTAGTACAAGGACATGTTATGTAGTTGAAGCTTGTGGATAATTAGAGTTTAAAATAATTTGTCTGCAAATTATCCCTCACTACGTCTAACAGCTTGTATTTTTATGCATCGACACAGAAAATATTACATGCCACCTCACTGGCTTTGGGAATCAACCATGAGTTTGATCGTTGACAATTGAATGGCCTTGTTTTATGTGCTCAAGTGGTTCACAGTCATTTTTACAGAAACATAATAGCTGGAATGAAGGTTTTTATTTTTCAACTACAAATCTATCACCTGTTACAATCTATGCGTGGCGAAGGCCTACCCAAGCTGTTTCCATCGCTTGTGACCTTGTGGCATAACAGTCCGTTTTCACGTGGGCCTATTTCTCACTTGTTCGCTCCTTGGGCTGCCACTCCGTCGTTAGCCTCAACCATCGGCCATCGTTCCTCCCAGCAGCGTCTCATACTGGAGCACAATTACCTTGGTGGCGTTTTTGCTGAGCCCGGCCCTGTATCCAGACAAGGAGAACGCCGGGTTCTCTCTCCTGGCTCCAGTCTGGGATTCACTTCCTCCGCTCACTGTGCACATCCGCCTCTCTCACTGTCAGTGTTGTCCTTCTGTCAGACTCTGACTTTTTCCTGAATATATTCTTCCACGCCTCTGAATGTCCTTTTTAAGTTAAATTGGTGTGTTATAAAAAAATTAATGATTGTCATATACTACTGTATTTATTTTGAAAGGATGTTTTCTATATTATGCCGTTTATGAATATCGTTTTTTCATGTGGCTTTGAGCATGAAAAACGAAGAAGATATAGCCCATCCTGAATAATTGCCTAGCCCCTCAGGTAATGACTTCAGAGTTTAAACGATTCGAGGATACGCGTTATATGATATGACAAATTCAATATTTGAAAGTGCAGCCTGTTTGGAATCTACACAAATGTATTCCTTCCAGCCACCTGGCCGGACACATTTCTAGTTTATGTTTAGTATTTAATGGCACGGATGTCAAACATTGTAATGCTACCAAGGGGTATGGTAGCCATTCTTGTTTGTACTGCATTTTAATAAAATACAAATGTGGATACAGTTTCAGTTAATAAAACAATCAGTATTATTGAATGTTTTGAACAAAGTTTAGTCATATTATTTGGGTCTTTAAAGTATCTCGCTTGCGTCTCCTGATCATATTGAATGCGAGTGTTTCCACGTCACCTAACTTTGTTCATAGACGTTACATAACCCCCATTTACATTTCAGGTATATTACAAAGGATATGCATCAGTTTTCCAATTCATAATTTGCAAACTTAACCAGAAAGATAACTTGGGAGTTGGAGAAAAATTGCGATTTTGTTGTTGTTGGAAATCTGGCACATGAGACGAGGTATCTTCCCAGACTATTACTTAGTTGGAATGTCAACCATCTATAAATAGTTCTGAAGATACTTGTCATTATTTGAGTGTGTATGGCCTGCGAAAATCAGTAAAATCAAACTTGAGTCGGGCGTGGGGACGCACGCAATGTAACCCAGAACTGGAGGTAAAGGTTGGTGTATCGCATGGATTTGTAAAACTTCCAAACTGTAAGGGGGCTAAAATAGTACAGTACAACAAATTAGATTGTCAACCTACCTGTACATACCTTAGTGTGTTATCTTGTATGCATGTGGTTTCTCTGGCTACTCGGGTTTCCTTCCACACAAAAAGCTAATTATAATCAAATTATCCGATCATTCCATTGGAGGACCCTCCTGAAAAGAATCTTGACACTCGGTGAGGTTTTCCTGTATGTATATATGTATATTGTAACGATACTGCTATTTAGTAGTTGCTTCATGACCACTCAATCATGTGCCTTGACAGCTGCAGTGCAAGATGCTGATATTGGTCAATGTGGCTGAAAGACCACCCAAACTCTTGTTTCACAGAAGTTTGTCCAAACCTCACTACGGGTCCTCGCCCCTCTTTCTTGGCTTGCCCTCGCTGAACCACAGCAGTGTAACCTGGGGGGCAGCATCAATTCCATAAACATTTAATCGGCAGCATTTAAACTTTCTTCTCAATTATCGAATCGGCTAAGAAGCCTTCCTCTATCGTCTTAGCGAGCCTGATGGCATTACAGTTGTGGATGTAAAGTGTAAGCACATAAAGTGTAGCCCTAGTGGCAGCTCGGGTATTTTATAGTTCTTTTTTATTGCTCATGACTCCACAAGGTTACGTGCAATAAGTAACCAGGCAGGTTCTGAAACCCGGCCATGTGGGCCCATCTTCCCTATCTTAGCCTTGAAAAGGACATGGGAGAGACACACCCAGTTTTTATTTTTACGCCTACGATTTGAATAGATTGTGTGGGCTGCTGAAGTGTACCACAAAGCCCAACACGAGATGGAATTTTGAGATTGTAACCACTGCCCAGCTCATGCCAATTCTGAATGTAAGGCAGTTCATTTTACTTTAAAGGTGTATGTGTGTGTTGGTATGAGTGGGTGTGTAATATGTGTGTGGGTGCGAGCAGTAACACAGCATGCTGTCCTGCAGTCCCAGTCAAATGGATTACATGCTGTACCAACAGAGTGAATTGTTATCTTACTTGGCACAAGCCTTCTCTCAGTTGACCGTGTCTAAAATGAGCATGCAAATGCCAGCGACATTGAACGTCTCCAATGTATGCATTCCAATCAGATGTTCGCTGATAGCATATATCCAAATAGTGTAACCAGGATAAAAATGTTAATGTGTTTGTGGTTGACCTGTTTCAGCTTCCGACTGGTCCCATTGGCCCCATGGTTTTGCTGGACAGCAGACTGACCGAGCATCAGAAGGAGTCCCTGAAGAGAGTTGCCACAACACTGGGAGGACGAGTCGTCTCCACGTTCAACAACTGTGGTGCGCTATCTCTCACTACAGTCCGCAGTCTTGAGAATTCCTGTTGTTAGCAGAGGAGGTTGGGTGCCTCCCGGGCTGTAAAGGAATGTTCGAGTATTGTGCCAGCACCAATCAGAGCTTGGCTTTGATTCCTGGGCTCCCACCCACGTTTGAATTAGGTTCAAAAGTATGACCTGTTAAGGTTCTCATCTCGGTCAACGATAAATATGCAACATTTCCAGCATCTTTCTTTTTTGATTCCCTCTAGGAGTAACGTTTCTCCCAGCCCCCTCAGGTTCCCATGCACAGCTTTCTACAGCTAGCCATCCTCGAAAAACCCTTCCATGCAGATGCTCCTACAATTCGGGAAAGTTACATGAGTCACTGGGAGCCAGGTCTGGAGGAATAGCCAGGATGCGTATTCTCCAGTTTCCTTGAAGCGGCCTCTTTAACTCTCGCAGTGTGTACTGTGACACTGCCATTCAGAAACCACAGTGTGGTTCTCATCTTTCCGTGGAACTTTTCTTTGATCAATTCATGTGGTCGGTGAAGCATGTCTGTATCATAGCGACCTTTGATCATCTCCTCAAAGTCAATATGAACTGCACCTTTAGCATACCAAAATTAGGTGCAAGTGATCTTGTCTGCATTGTGTGCTGACTTGGAGTTCTTGCGTATTGGAGAAGTTGGATTTTTCCATTGCATCGACTGCCATTTGGACTTTGGAGTCATAATGGTAAATCCGGGTCTCATCACTGGCAATAAATTGATCCCTAAAGCTGGCCTAGTTTGCCTTCATCAGACCAAGATAGTCATGTGGAGTTATCAGACGCTCCCTCGTAGTGTCACGTGCCAGCATGCTGGAGCTCGTATTTTTAGTCGGCATTCGTAACAATTTCCTTTGTTTCATGTTCTCTAGCGTCATAAATTTTATGACAGCAAGATAATAGATGTATTTGACATTTAGCATTTATCATTGTTTACCTGCAATAGATGACATGTAAATTATGAACAAAGCAGTCCAGAATGTTGTTCCCAAGTTGTTTGGGTTTACTTATGTGGACTATAAGTAGCTGCGACATTGGTCGTCTCTGATTTTACTTCTGTATTCGGCTCAAACTTTTTGTACCACCTACGTCAAATTATAAGAAAACTCGGCAAGCTTTTGCACATTTGTAGTAATTACATCTGATGCACCCAATGGTCCAACGATTCATTACAACACAATTTAATTCACGGTCAGATTTTTTGTGGAAAATATTTAATACCATATATCTTCGGGCTGTATACATAAAACAGTTTGAATGTACCTTCATTCTTATTTGTGTAGAACTGTAAACCTTTGTCCTTTCCCTGTCAACAGCAACTCACGTCATCGTCGACTCCACAATGCAAATTCCCCGCACCATGAAATGCTTCTTGGCCATCCTCAACGGCTGCTGGATTATCGGCTTCCAGTGTAAGCATCACCTGCACGCCTCTCCAGTTGCTCGCTGTACAAACTGAGCGCGTTTGCTCTGAAGCCAGGGGCAAAGCTTGGTTCACCGACTGCTGCTCGTTGATCAGGGAGTTTGCACGCTGCGGCACTCTTGTGTGGAGGAGCCAAGCAGAAATGCACAGTTTGTGTGTCCAGAGTCTTAAAGGGAAGGTCACCGCAGGATATTGTCTAGCTCTGTGTGCAGGGGACATTTGTGGGCTCCATTGTTTGTCATGGGATGATCCCTGTAGGTTTAAAAGACAAACATAAGTTAGTTTCAAAATCTTTTTTAATCGTTCTGTTCTTAATACATAATTTTTTAGGTCACATTTTGCATTTAACAGTTTGTGCCGCTTAAATGCGCATTTTTTACTATCGAGCACTATGCATAATTGCTTAAGGCGGACAAACGATCACATTTGAGATGGCACATTTTTTTGTATCCTGTATAAATATACATTGAATTAAGTAAATTTAAATCAAAGGATTCCTTGTCATCGTTTGTTTGTTTCAGGGGTGCAAGCCTGTCTGGCGAGGCATGAACGCGTGCCAGAGCAGGACTTCGAAGTGAGGGGACGTGACGGCTCCCTGCCGTGTCGTGGTCCGGAGAGAGGGAGACTCAACAAACTTCAGCAGGTGATCATCATCATCATCAGCCGTGGTCAATCCACTTCTAGATGAAGGCCTTCCCAAGCATCTTCCACCTCCCATGATCCTGCCGTGCAATAATCAACCTTGGACCTGCATTTGAACTAATTCGGTGAACATGACAATGGCCAAAATGGTCTGTCGTGACGTCGCAAGGGATTGTGGGGGTTTTCTATGATGCCGCATCCTTAAATATCTTAAACATGAGCATGTGTTTCAAGGCATTACATGCCAATGGGTTATACATTGATTGGGTCTGTCTGTGTTTTTGTTATATCTGGGTATTCGTAGTGACTTGCAAATGGCCTGTTGTACTTTGGCCTGTCATTGTCGGGCGTGGTGGCGCACGCCTGCAATCCAGCACTTTGGATTGGAGACAAAGGATGGTGGATCACGCACACTTCGCCTAAACTGCTGGCCTACTAGAATGACCATACAGTAAATGTGTTCCTGAACCTCTGCTGAATCTCTGCAGACCTTACGGTGTGTAAGATGCTCAAAGTGTCAGTTTCTAACCACACGCATAATACTGCTGAAAATGGAAATCGGGCAAATAATCCTAATGCTGGATCCTGATTAATAATATCCTTGAGATTTGGTTAGACTTAGTATAAATATATAGATTAACTTTATATCCAGTAAAAAGACCACTGAAACCATAAGTCTCCTTTTTTAATGAACATATAGGTAAAAGCTAGAGGTACAGCCCTACAATTCCTTGCTCATGACACTGCTGGCACAGGGGACTCCACAAGATGGAGCTCTATAGAATCCCTCGAGAGGGTATTTGGCCTACTCTGCACTGGCAAGATGTCTGAGAAGAGGTGAGAATTTTCCACGCTTTTCCCCACCACACATTATCTACCGATTGACCAACTCTGGGTGTATCCATTTAATTTCTGCGCCTGGAGATCAAACCGACGACATCTGGATTACAATTCCAGCGTGCTTACAATTACAATCGCAGCAGCATATTTTTTTTCATGAACACCTGGAGATGAAATAACCGCAACAAATAGAGAAAAACAAATCCGAATGCTGCGCTGCTGATCTTTTGCGTGGGCGCAGCTTCCAGGCCTCTTCGACGGTTGCCACTTCTTCCTGGGTGGCCCCTTCGACGAGCCCTGCCGCTCCGACTTGGCAGAGATGGTGCGCGTGGGTGGCGGGCACATGCTGTCGCGGCAGCCGAAGCCCGACAGCGACGTGACGCAGAGCGTGCGCCGCGCCGCCTACCACGCGCGCCGCCACTCGGACCAGGAGTTCTGCACGCACTACGTGGTGTATGACGGCGCGTGGCTGGGCGGCCGCAGCGGAGTGTCGCGGCTCGGCAAAGTGTGGACCGTCCCGTCTGGGTGGTTGGTGGAGTGCGTGCTCGCGTTCGAGCTCTTGCCGTTTGACGTGTAGAGGGGAGAGAGGGGGGGGGGGGCATCGCGAGAGTCGTTGGGTGAACACGGAACAAGGCCTGTGGTGACGGATCGATGTTATTGGGTTGTTAAATTTCGTGTGCACTAAGCCTGCCAACTATTTTTGTCCTTTTGGAAAATTGTCTTTAACTTGGCTTTGACCATTAAGGGCAGGTGATAAGCACCTGGTTGTATGTTGAACTTCTTTCATACCGCACGTAGCCAAACATTGCTAATTGGAGGTTGGCTTTTAAAAAGCAATGATGGATACATCAATTGATGTAAGACGTACAAACTCTACTACGTTTAAACAACATTCCACCTGAACCACACTTTGTTCAACATTATCTGTGTCGTTAATCACTTCACAGCTTGGAAAAAAGCATGAGACACAAACCTGAAGGCATGTGATTGCAGTGAGGGGGTATGTGCAGTCCCTCTGATTTTTGTTCTACATTATTGTCACGTGATATTTGTGTGGAAAAGGGTTCATAAAGATCACAAATTGCATATTTCATAGTAATACAGCACTGCTTATCAGAAGTTTTGGTTTTGACATCATCTAATGTGTTTTATCTATGCCTAATTTACCAGTAGTAACTTGTTTTGTCTGGGTGACTTTAAAAGTGATTTTGCACCGTGCTAATCGGAGGTGTCTGGATGTCCACTGAGGAGATGGAGCAATTAACTCAGCTCAGGTGCTAGGGGGGGAGTGTTACATCTCAAAACTAGAAGTTGGCAACTCTTTGGAGAGGCCTTCATCCAGCAGTGGATTGATAATGGCTGATTGTGATGACAAATGTCTTGTAATTACTTTGAAAATCAAGCTTGCACTTCAATAGTAATTTCCAGCTCTTTGTCAGTCCACTGCTGGATGATTGGACCCGCCCTACTCTGTGTGTCCAGTCATGGGGGTAATTGGACCATACCTCACCAAGCTGGTCAGTGTGGGTGGGTGATGAAGCTCGTACAGTACTCTGTACTGAATATTTTACTTTCGATTCATTTTTACGCCTGGAAATTGTCAGCCGACTGGCCGGTTGCCCTGCTGCTGCTGCTGTACAAACCAAAGTGGAAGTCGCTCAGGCCCCGGCAGCGATATCCCACCACAGGCTGGCTGAAACAACTTTCCAATGGAAGAGTTTGACGGTGCAGAATTTGCAGTGAGGTCTGATAGCAAACATGCTTTTTTGAGGTTTTACAACTGCCAAGGCAACTGGCATGGACAGCAAGTCAGGTGTGAATTGGGGTTTTTTTCCTTGCATTTTAAATATTTTGGAGGTTTTTATCTTGGTGTCTTACTTACTCAGGTTGCCTTGTAACCAAATACAATGTTGGAACCTTAATGCATAAAATGCATAATAAAATTGTTTTGCGTTTGGAAGTGACTTTACTCATACAGCTGGCGTTTAGACACTGCCCCTAAAACGTGACACGAGCTCCCACGTGGGGCACGCGGTCATCAACAGCCATGATCCATCCACCGCTGGATGAAGGCTTCTGAACATCATTGCTATTGGCCAGTCTCGTGAAAATAATCTTGTTCCGACTTCAGCTAATCTCATCGCTGCATCTCTGCTAGTTTTCCTCTTGGCTGGGTCTTTGCCTGCCATTATCATCTGTCTTGCCTACATGACGTCATCCCTCTTAGGATGTGTCCTGCCCAAGCCCACTTTCCAAACGGCCAATATATCTCATTTGTTTTTCTCTGATGTATGTGTTCGACTTGCTCTGAAATTTAATGTTGTCCATGTGTCAGCAGACAATTTGCAGTGATTGAAAACGTTCCTCTTTAGGCACTTTAGTGATTTTTTATTAGTTTTCTAATAAAGTTAAAAAGTACACCCTGCCTCTGTTTGATTCTATTGTATTTTGATCACGGTTTGCCTTCAATCATTCATTGGATGTGCAGTACCTCTACGTATGCCGTGCGTTTAAATATTGTTCCTCCAACTTTTAATTTACCAAGTGTATTCATACTTGTTCTTCGCACTACCCTGTATACTTTACAAATCACTGGGTTTCCAATTAAAATAATCCATAATAGAGGGTTTTGGTTCGATTGCGTGTGTGCTGTACGAGTGACGAATTGGCATGATCTGTTTACGTGGCAACCCATAATAGATGGCTGTGTCGGGTGGTGGCAGGTTTAACGACACATTTACGCGATCTAACCCAAAACCTCTGATTGATGATAAACCAATTAAAATAAGTTCAAGTTTATTTTCTTTAACAAGCTGAGAACTCAATAGACGGTGGTGGCGCATGCCTCTAATAAAAAACCGAGGCCAGGGTTTTGGTTTTGGTGGATCGCACAAATGTGATACCCCCCCGTGGGCGTTGAGGTGCCATACCCTGGCTCACCATGAGAAGGCAGTAGAGCGAGTGGACTAATCGCCATCTGTTTCTATCGCTACCGGCATAGTGTTGCCCCCTTGTGTGTGTGTGTGTGTGAGCTCCTGTTTCCTCCCACATGTATAATAAACACGTCAATTGGCTGAAAACATCTTAAAATGAATACCTAAGAGTCAAATTCAGTGGGGCTATCTTGCGTAAATAATTAAGAGATGGATCAGGATGAGTTTCTTTTGCAATCGTGACGGGTTACCAAAATGACAAGCAATTGAAAATAGTGCAACAATTTGGAAAGCAAAAAACTTACATTATAAGTCGAAAATATTGCAGAAACAAATCAACATTAAATAATAACTTGCATGGGTTAACCTATCGTGAAATTGATGAAGTCGAAACAATGCATAGGAATAAATGTTGAGGTCTCAAGAGTTAGGCTACGTACGTTTAATTTATCAGAACATTTGCAAAAACCATGCAACAGACGCCCGTGATCAAATCGCCTGGAATACGCCAGATTTTGGGAAAATATCGCTTGGATGGGCGACCGCCAATGCATACCACACGGGTTGCAGGCTGCTGCGAGACTGTCGTGGGTAACAGTGCAACAGGGGGAGAAACATTGTACTGTACTTCTGTGCTCCTGGACTTTAGCACCAACCCTCTCTGGCCAGCGGGGTGCAGTTGGGTCAGATAACCACTCGCGACCCGCGTACGGTGTGGGGAGGCCAGATCGACACGAGCGGCGAAACAGCAGCACGACACACCACTTACCAAACAGCGCTAAATGCGAGCGAATGATCTCATTGGATCCTCCCCCGATTGACGGAGTTCCCCTTTGACCACGAGTAGAATGAATGAATGAATTGGGAACGGGCATTGGTGCCGCTAACGAGCCGAGAGGAATTGTGCGTTGATCCCTCCCAAGTGTGGGAGCCACGACCGGCGCTGTGCGTGCGAGGGAAGGGAGCGCGGGGAACGACGACAACGATCTTGGTCGAGTGGAGGGCGGTGCCACGCGGCTCACTGCGCGCTCTCTGAGCCCCGCCGGGACGGACTCCGCTCCACCGCCACAGCCCGCAGCTCGCAGCAGCACTAGGTGAAGCAGCAGCAGCAGTAGGTGAAGCAGCAGTAGGTGAAGCAGCAGTAGGCGCAGCGGTAGGTGAAGCAGCAGGTTCAGCAACAGCAGCAACAGGTGCAGGTGCCTCCCGTGTCCCGGGGCTGTTCCAGGAGGAGGCGGTGGGAGGCGTCGCGCTCTCGGGCCGGGGCACACGGAAGTGCGGCCCGGGCACGGCACGGCTCCGAGGTACGACAGCGTGCGCGCACACACAGACATTACTCATACACACACACACACTCTCATACATACACACACTCTCACACACATACACACATACACACACTCTCACACACATACACACATACACACACACTCTCACACATACACGTACACACACTCTCACACATACAAATGACAAAGATCCCCCGTATAGCCTGAACAGACTGTAGGGGCAGGCTGTTAGCGAGCACATATGAAGGCCTTAACGGTACCGATGGAGGTGGTGGCCAGCACCACGCCCGACCGCCTTGTCTCCCTAGTTGCGATGTTTTCCAAACCACAGCACGCATGTACTCATTTAAGGCTGATTCGACCTAGGGGAGGCCCAGGACCGGTCAGATAATCGTCACTGGGTTTAGCCTTGAGCGGGAAATCGGAACCCGGGTCGCCAGGTTCATAGCGCAGCGCGCTAACCGCTACACTACCGCTCCTCACACATACACACACTCTCACACATACAACACTCTCACTCTCATACACACACACTCTCACACACATACACACACTCTCACACATACACACACTCTCACACACATACACACACTCTCACACATACACACACATACACACACACTCTCATACATACACACACTCTCACACACATACACACTCTCACACACACATACACACATACACACTCTCACACATACACACACACATACACACTCTCACACATACACACACACATACACACTCTCACACATACACACATACTCTCACACATACACACCTCACACACATACACACCTCTCACACATACACACACACATACACACACTCTCACACATACACACACATACTCTCACACATACACACACTACTCTCACACATACACACTCACACATACACACACTCTCACACATACACACACTCTCACACATACACACACACTCTCACACATACACACACACTCTCACACATACACACACACTCTCACACATACACACACTCACACACACTCACACACACTCTCACACATGCACACACTCACACACATACACACACTCTCACACATACACACACACATACTCTCACACATACACACACTCACACACATACACACACTCTCACACATACACACACTCTCACACATACACACACACTCTCACACATACACACACACTCTCACACATACACACACACACACTCACACATACACACACTCACACACACACACACTCTCACACATGCACACACTCACACACATACACACACTCTCACACATACACACACTCTCACACATACACACACTCTCATACACACACACACTCTCACACACATACACACACTCTCACACACATACACACACTCTCACACATACACACACACATACACACACACACTCTCATACATACACACTCTCACACACATACACACTCTCACACATACACACACACATACACACATACACACTCTCACACATACACACACACATACACACACTCACACACACTCTCACACATACACACACTCACACACATTCTCACACATACACACACACATACACACTCTCATACATTAACACACTCTCACACACATACACACTCTCACACATACACACACACATACCACACTCTCACACATACACACACTCTCACACACACACACATACTCTCACACATACACACACCACACATACACAACTCTCACACATACACACTCTCACACATACACACTCTCACACATACACACACTCTCACACTACACACACACTCTCACACTACACACTCTCACACACACACTCACACACTCTCACACATGCACACACTCTCACACATACACACACTCTCACACACATACACACACACACACTCTCACACACACTCTCACACATACACACACTCACACACACTCTCACACACATACACACTCTCACACATGCACACACTCTCACACGGGGTACGTACACACACAGTACAATGTGTGTAGGATACACGCGCGTGGTATACACATAGAGGTTGTACAGTATAGTAGACGCACGGTACATTAGGGTACATGGTACACACAGTACCTATACATAGGGTACATAGCATACACACTGAGTGCAGGTAATAGGGCACATGGTATGTGTGCATACAGTACACGCACACACAGTACATGCTCATACATAGGGGGTGTATGTTACATACTCTACATATTTACGTAGTACATCTGCACATGATACAGAATGCATGCTTAATACCTGCACACACGGCGTACTCAGAGTGCACAGCAGATTTACACAACACAAATATATATGGTATAGACAACACAACCTGTGCATCACATACACAACACAAACACACACTGTGATTAGTGAGTGTACACACTGTTTAGTGAGTGTACACACTGTGATTAGTGAGTGTACACACTGTGTTTGTATTAGGCCCACGCGGTCGAGACGCGTGCACGCCATGGCCGGACAGTGATCACCTACACACCGACACTACACTACACACTACCTACTACACTACACACTACACTACACACTACCTACTACACTACACACTACACTACACACTACCTACTACACTACACACTACACTACACACTACCTACTACACTACACACTACACTACACACCGACACTACACACTACACTACTGTAAAGGAGAGCCGACACAAGGTTGCAGGGGGTTCGTCTTTTAATCCTTTTCTCCCATCCACACCTGTCCCCAGCCGTCCCAATCTCGTTCCCGCCAAAAGCCCCTTCTTCCCGCCCGTTCTACTCTTATATATCCTCGATTACCCCTCCCACTAACCCTCCTATTGGTGGGAATCCTTCCGCTGACACCCCTACATCACCCCCCCCCCCCCCCCCCCCCCCACGGAGAAACAAAAAAGTCCTCGGTTCTGCCTCCCCCATGGACCATTTAAGTCTCCCCATGCCTCCCCCCACTGACAGTGACGACCGCTCTTAACCCCCCCACAACCATACAATGCAATATAACGCAACAAAATCAATTGAACGGCCTGCCTAGGTCTCCAGCCAGCGTCCCGTAACAGCCCGGACATCCACAGGCAGCAGATGACCGTGCGGCCCCCTCTCGTCACGGTCCCAGGTTCGGTGGCGCCGGTGTCGCCTCCCAGTAGCGCCGCGGCAACGGCTCGGCGGTTCCCCCCCGCCGCGCCAGCCACCTGGCCCACGGGTAGCGTCCGACCCATGACCTGTTCATGGGCTTGGATGGTCGGGGCAGCCCACAGCAAGGTGCGTTCACCCGGGGTCACCACGGGCATTACAACACCAGCGCGGCAAGCGTAGGCGATGAGGTGCTCGACCACGAGGTCCTCGAGCGCTTCTTCAGCCAGGCGAGGGAAAGCCCTCCTCGCCAACACGAGCAGTGCACCCTGTAGGCTAAAGGGGATTCTCTAGCCCCTCGCTGGCGGTCCTGGAACCGTTTAAAGGCGCCTTCAGCTGGGCAGCAGATCTCCCCCAAAGCCTCGTAGGCCGCCTGTAGCGTGGTCATGCTGTGCAAGGGAAGGGAGGTGTAAGAGGCGAGCGCATCGTCGTCCAGAACGGATGGCAACGCTCGTAGTGCCTCTTCGTCTGACCACTCGAGAGCGTGGAAGGCAGCCTCGAATCGGCGGACAAACGCCTCCCAATCTCCTCCCTCGGCCACGAATTTCTCGACAGGCCCCAGCCTACGCGCCCGTCCTGCCACCTGCTCCCCGTGTTGGGTGTTTAGCCCTGGGGGTTTTGGCGGCGAGCGGCGGTGGCTGGCGTGACGAGGTTGGTTGCGGCTCCTACCCGGCTGGCTGGTCGGCCTCCGGGTCCCGTGGCCCCTCCTCCCATAGTACGCGTGGGGGTTCCGGTGTCGGCGGGCCTCCCATAGGGAGCCTCCGCGGTAGCTCCTGGAGTGCCCTCTCCACGCGGGCCATGCGGTCCTCCATGCGGTCCTGCATGGGGTCCGGGCCCCCTGCTGCTGCTCCTGGTAGCAGGCCCCCTTGTTGCCCGGGATGGGAAGGATCCCCGGCCCCTGCTTCCTCTTCCCTTGGCTCTTTTCCGCGGGGATTCTTCGGAGCCATTGTAGATCCCACCGCTGCCACCAGATGTAAATGAGAGCCGACACAAGGTTGCAGGGGTTCGTCTTTTAATCCTTTTCTCCCATCCACACCTGTCCTAAGCCGTCCCGATCTCGTTCCCGCCAAAAGCCCCTTCTTCCCGCCCTTTCTCCCCTTATATCTCCTCGATTACCTCTCCCACTAACCCTCCTATTGGTGGGAATCCTTCCCCTGACACCCCTACACTATCTACACACTACGCTACACACTGCACTACACACCGACACACCACACTACATACACACTACACTACACACTACACACCGACACACTACCTACACACCGACACTACACTACACACCACCGCACGCGTTCCCACTTCACGTGCAAAGCCACACGTTTACCCACGGGGAGATCTCTGTCTCGATACCCCACAGAAATAGTAGTAGATCGATCATTATCAAACAAGCCGTATGACACTCAACACGCTCTCCGCGTCTCCCGCCAATCTCGACGCAGACATTGCATCTTCTAACATTGTGGGGAGATGTGGTGGAGCCAATCGTGATCACGATATTTGTCAGCTGTTGAGAAGACGGTCATTAGAATCAATGGGGTACCTAATAGGGGCCATCCATTAGGGGCCATCTATTGACTACGTACGCATGGAGGGGGGAGGGAGTAAACCCAAACTTGTTCGCTTGCGTATGGGGGGGGGGGGGGGCTACTGACAATGTTCGCATAGGAAACGGGGTGGGGGGGGGGTGAAGCCTCGATAATATTTGTCTCCATTGGCCTTCAAGTGAGTTAGTTAGTCCGGCGGTGGACCGTCTGAAACACGTTAATGTTATTAATCCTCGATCGTTTCTGCGTTGTTTAAATATCGGCCGCTCTATAGGATTCGAGGGGGGGTCAAGTTGAGAGATCTTCGTGGGCCGACTCATTACGCCTGCCATGATTACACATCGCCACCAAATTACTAAACA